TCTTTATATATATACTTCTATATTAATATGGGTCTATGTACTATATAAATAATATATGTTGCATATATAATCATATGGTGTTATAGAAGTGTAGTGGAAAAAGTGTGTTGTATAAGGTTTATGGTGTGAGATGGTTGATGGTTTGAATCTCCACAAAAGCAAATGAGAAGCTAGTGAGTTTAATTTTTTTTTTTTTTTTTTTCACAAATGAGCTTTTGGCGACTAAAAGGTTTGATCTAAATATTTTTAATCACACTTAAAAGGTGTGATCTAAATATTTTTAATTACACTTAAAAGGTGTGAAATGTTATTAATCACACTTAAAATGTGTGATTAAAAATGACCCCTTTTAATCACACTCACAAAGATCACACTTTAATAACACTTAAAAGGTGTGATTAAATAACATACATCACACAAAAAAGTGTGATCTTTATCTTTTTTGTAGTAGTGCATGCATATAATAATATCTCGATATCATCAATGCCTCAACCATTTGGGGTGAAAGCTGTTTCAAAAGCAACTATAAAAATAGGAATGGTTAGTATATCACGGGTCATCTATGAAAGTACAAGCCACATAGGTTGATTTTGTTTCCATCAATTCAAAATTTCAAAATCATAGTTATCATCCACTGCTGGACTATCTAAATAACATTATAATTTAGAACTACTTATGCTTGTATTTGAGATATTTTTCTACTTTTTATTGTTGAAAAAATACTTAATTCTACCTCGAGAATGAGGCTGGCGTAGTGTGTGTAGATGTATTTTCAGATATAGCTTCCTTATATTCTTTAAATAATTTTGTGTATGTTTTCATAATAAGGGCAAGTTGTTTTTTATCAGAAAAAATACAATCTAAAAATTTTTGTAGATAAATTTCTTTAAATCTAGGATCAATTACGATGGCTAAACCTAAAAGATGAGATAATAGATCAAAATATTTATCAAATTTTTCTTTCATTGCAATAATAATGGTTATATAATATTCATTACCAATATATTTTGTGAATTTCATTATTTCTGCCAACATATGTAAAACAAATGGTGAAGCAGGAATATATATATATATATATATATAAGAAAATAATTTTGTTGTAGTATAAAAAACTTTTAGAAAATCTTTATATAAGGCTACTTGATGTCAATTAAGTTTTCTGGGAGTCAGTATTTCTCCTATTGATGTTGTTGCAAAAAATAAGTTTATTGTTTTTCTTTATTTACAAGCTCTCTTTAACATATTATACGTTGAAGTCCACTTGTCGTCTATATCTAAAATTAGTTTTTTAAATGGTATACCTTCCCGTTGACAAATTTTTCTATATTTTGAAATTCGATTGACAGAAGACATAATAGTAATAACCTCATGTTTTATTACCAGTATATAGAAGTGTCATATACATGCATAGTTTTTTTAATAATCAAGTTTAAAATATGAGCATAACAACGAATATGAAATAAATCACCATCAATAAGTAGTTGTATGTTGGAAAAATATATAAAACTCTACTTGATTAACAAACTGAAATAGATACAAGAAGATAAAAGCAGAATAAAAATAGAGAAAGAATAGAATCAGGGCACAAAAGTCAATATGCTATCTTTAAGAAGCGATTTTGCCTCACTTGGTGCAAATGGCTACTGGCAGTCGTTGTCCAAGATACACCGGCGAGTCTTGATGGTGTGCACTCACCAAGCAAGACATGAACTCATCTAAGGAATAGCCCAAAGAAACCAAGAAACGGTGTAGGAAAGACGAAGAAGAAGAGAGAACTTTTTCTATATTACTAAACTACTAGTATATATATAATTCCAAGTCTGAAAGTAAGGTAAGAATAAATTAAGCATTTGATCAAACAAATCCCTTGAATTATGAAATGGCTAGTTAATTCCTTAATCATAGTTAATTACAAAAGGAAATGAATCTTATAGAAAATCAATGAGAAAATATATATATATTGTATTAGCTCACACACGCGCCCAACCCAGCCCAGTCGAAGTCCAATGCGCACGCTTGTATATATATATATATATATATATGGGCTTCACACATATAGCCCAAAGCTTACATAGTCTCCCCTACATTCTTGCCCCTTACCCAATAACAAAGGTCTACATATAAAATGTGTAAACAAGCTAATAAGAAATCAATGTGGGACAAGGAACAAGAGGAAAATTTTGAAGTACTTCCAGCGTTGTAATGTTGATTTCAAATGGATATACTCTAATTGTAATATGTTACATTATCTAAACTAATGGTAAATATTTTATTTTGTAAAGCCCACTTATATCATACATTTCTTATTTCTACCCAAAGTGAATGACCAATATATGAAAGTTCAACTAATCTAAGTAAAATGATTCTTTTATTTAATTTCCAATCATTATCAATAAAATGTGCAGTAATACATTGATATTCTAAACTATTATTTGACCACATATTAGATGTTAAACAAGCTCTTCTATTCAAATTTTTAAAAATGTCAAATAATTCACTTTTAATTTCCTCAAATTTCTTTAAAATCCTATTTCTAATAGTGTTTCTTTAAAAATCTTGATATTGCGATGCAAAACCTCAATGAATATTCATTTCTAAAAAATCAAGACATTCACTAGTAGTAAAATGTTGGTCTTTTTAATAATACAATCAACTACAGAACTTTGTGCACACATAAGATCATATGAAAATGTTTGCAAATTACCAGTTAATGAACCCTCCCAATTGCATTTGAGTTCTAATATCAAGTTATTGATTTTGTAAATGTCTTTGAGCATGCCTTTTTAGATGGCTAGTACCTCTGCTAATGCAACACTAAGTAAATGTCCATAGTATTTACATTTTACTTTAAATACAGTTGTATAATCAAGATTAGTTACAAATACTCTTTCAAAATGCTCCCAAACAGTACTAAACATAGGGACTGTTTGTTACAACTTTGGGAGGTGATTATAGCTTATTTTGATTTAAAAGTTTGTGCCAAACCATTTAGTGCAGTTTCTGCTTATAGCTTATTAGCTTAAATAAGCTAAAAAAAAAGCTGATTATTTGAAAGTTGGGGTAGGGGCGCTTTTTGCTTCTCCTTCTACTGTACCTAATATCCCTCTTTTAACAGTTGCATCATCATCTAGGGGTATGGCCCTGTTTGGTGAAGCTTTTTTAAGTTAAAAGCTTATATATATTAATATATAGTAATTCAAATTAACAATATATATTAATTTCAACATAAACATATATCAACTTTTAACTTAAACATTAGAAAAATTAGGATCCATAGTAATTTAAGTAAAATAATATATTAATTAACAATTAATTAAAATAATGAGTAAATAATAACAAGTAATATATGTTACGAAATAATTAACGTAAAAAAATGAATAAATAATAAATATTAATTTAAATAATTAATGTTACTGATCGGTGAATGCAATACAAAAATTAACTTCTCATAATAAAAGTTTCTTCTTGCCCAATTGCAATTGCCACTTAAGGAAGAGATTTCAAGATTAATTGAGAGGGTTGAGAGCTGAGAGAGAACGAAAGTTTGAGAGAGATATTTGTTTGTGAGAAATAAAATGGGAGATGAGTCTTATTTATAAGAGTTGGGAGGAGGGAGGGATTAATTTATAATAAATAAAAAAAATTTAGCCGTTGTGAAATTAATGGTCAAATGACGGTTTTAATTTTTCTTTTAATTTCTTATCGTTGCACAGTGAAAGGTTGTAGAGCCGTTGGGGCAAGTCGGCTGAGGCAGAGGAGGAAATTTTTTTTGGTCTGGGCCAAGCTCCAGAACACACGACCCAAGCCCAGGCCCAGGCCCAGGCCTAGGGTCTTGGGAGTGCTCGGGTCCGGGTCTAGCTGGGTCCACCCAGGCTGCAGACAGGCTTCAAGTGGGCTACGGGCTCATGGGCCAAAATTACACCCCTACACACATGACACTTTTTGGTTGGTAAGTCTAAATATGTACAGTTAAGAATAATTCTTGACACATTTGCACTTTATGTATATTTTGTGCTAACAACTTTAAAACATTATAAATTTAATATATAAACCCATTTTAAATTAAATTGATATTTTTAGATTCGTCCTCTTAGGATCTTTAAAACTTGATAAATATTAAATATAAAATTTGAAAGAAAAAAAATTAAAACATATTTATCCCATTTTAACACTAACTTAAAGCAAGACAAGGCGAAAGCAACCCATGACAAAGCAACTATATATTTGGTATCATACAAACTATGGTTCTACACAATAGAACATAAACTTGCCACACCATGTAGATTGAATCACAGGATTATTTTATCTTATGTTTCATAATTTATGTTGGAAAATTCAAATTCAAATTCAAACCCAAAACAGGGTCTGTTTGGTAACGTTTACGTTTTCAGTTTATATTTACAAAAATTTTATAAACTGATTTTGTTTATTTTTTGTTTATTTTTAGAAAAACATAAACTACAAACGCGTTTGGTAATTGACAAAATGTTTAAAAAATTTTAAAAATATAAAAAAGAGTGAGAAATGGCAAGTAGTGGCATGTGGTGGTGGAAGACGATGGTGGAAAGTGGTGACGGCGGGTGGTGGGTAGCGGGTGGTGGCGGGTGTGTGGTGGTGGTGGGTGGGTGGGGGACGGTGGTGGGTGGTGGCGAGTGGGTGGTGATGGTGGTGGTGGCAAGTGGGTGGCGGATGGCAGGTGGTGGTGGGTGGGTGGTGGCGACGAGTGGGTGGTGGTGGGAAGTGGGTGGCGGGTGGCGGGTGGTGGGTGGTGGTGATGGATGGGTGGGTGACGGTGGCGGGTGATAGATGGTAGCGAGTGGGTGGTGGTGATGGGTGGTGGTAGCAGGTGGGTGGCGAGTGGGTGATGGTGGGTGGTGGTATGGTGGGTGGTGGTGGCGGGCGGGAGGTGTTGGATGGGGGTGGTGGGTGGTGGCGGGTGAATGGCAAGTGGGTGGTGAGTGGTAGTGGTGCTACCAGGTTGCCACTCACCCCTGGGTTCATTTACCATATTTCATATTGGGAAACCAAACACTGCCTTGCCACTTGCTATCACCCGCGTAGTGTAACAGAATCAACCGTTCAAAACACCGTCCCTCTCTCTCTCTCTCGAAAACAACAGAGACAGAGGAGAGAGAAACAATCATTCAATCAACAATGGGGTCTCTCCCTCCATGTCCAGACCTCTCACTCCCCTCTTCCAAAGAAACCCTAATCGACCCAAACGACCTCCTCAGCCTCTTCAAATCCCAGCAAAAGTATCTCAATTTCTTCTTCCAAAACCTCGATCTCTCCCAAACCCTAGCCTTCACTCAAACCCTCTTGAATTCCCATGGCACCATCTTCTTCTCCGGCGTCGGAAAATCTGGTTTCGTAGCTCGCAAGATCTCCCAAACCCTAGTGTCCCTCGGAATCCGATCTGGGTTTCTCTCCCCTGTCGATGCCCTTCATGGCGACATCGGCATTCTCTCCGACTCCGATGTTCTCGTGATGTTCAGCAAGAGCGGAAACACCGACGAGCTCTTGCGGCTCGTGCCGTGTGCCAAGGCCAAAGGTGCGTACTTGATCTCTGTGACTTCCACGGAGTCGAATTGCTTGATGGATTTGTGCGATTTGAATGTGTATTTGCCTCTGGAGAGGGAATTGTGCCCGTTCGATCTTGCGCCGGTGACATCGACTGCCATTCAGATGGTTTTTGGGGACACTGTGGCAATTGCCCTGATGGGTGCAAGGAATTTGACTAAGGATGAGTATGCCGCGAATCACCCAGCTGGGCGGATCGGGAAGAACTTGATTTTCAAGGTGAGATAGTGTTGGTTTGACTGAAATTTGAGAATTATTTGTGTTAATATAATTCTATGAAGAGAGAGAAAAGAGAATAATCTGTATATTGAATCATCATAACGAAACACAAGTACAAGGTCGTTTATATGGTGTACAATAAGTCCTAAGTATTGAGGAAGGAATGGTTGGAATGGTAAATCCTAATCTAGGTAGAATATTAGAATAGTAATGATAATCTAGATATAACGCGTATACATTCACAATTTGCATTTGTTACTAGTTTTTGTGTGATTGCGGATTGGATCGGGTGAAAATATGATAGATCTAGGACTTAATCAAACGCTTCCTTTAATCATTTGATGGTGTTGCAAGCTGGTGGGTCTGTCCATTTTGGTTGCGGTAAAGATATATGCTAGTGTTGGGTGCTAAAAAAAAAAAACTTAAAACTCAAAACGGAAACACATTTTTTAAGTTTACATTTTTTGACCAAATTTATAAACTGAGATCACTGATTTATAAATCAAAAATTTACCAAACAAGTTTTTATTTGAGTTTTTAAAATTTTTGTAAATATAAACAGAAACAAAATAATACATAGATCTCGAAAAAATAGATAGAATAAAAAAAATCATCCAAAATAGACCACCAAATGCAAAGTTATGACCTATTGAAAGTACCATATATACACACACACATATATATATATATATGAGTCGTGCTACGTAGCTTGAAAGACAGCCCCCCCTCGAATCCCCTGAATTCAAAAACGACGTCGTTTTTTATTTTATTTTTTTTATTTTTTATTTTTCAGAAGAAGAGAATCAGAGGAAGAGAAGGAAGGAGGAGGAAGAAGGAGAAGGAGGAAGAAGAAGAAGAAGAACTGGAGGGGAGGGGGCCAACAAAATCGGGCTGGAGGCGGAGGCGGGGCGGAGGCAGAGGCAGAGGCAAAGGCAGGGGGCAGAGGCAGGGGGCGGAGGCAGAGGCAGAGGCAGAGGCAGAGGCAGAGGCAGAGGAGGGCGTGCTGCGACGAGCGACGGAGGGCGACGATCGGGCGGAGGCGACGGCGGGCTCCTCCTCTTCCCCTCTCTTCTCTTTCTCTCCTATCTCATTTGGGGGATTCGGGAGGCTGAAATTAGGGGGAAAATACATTTTCCTTTGTGATGAGTGTGTCCCAATTTTACTTTTAAAAAAAATAAATTAAAAAGTGCACATATATTGACATCTTCACATACCCTGCATCTCTCTCTCTCCCCTCTCTCTCTCTCTCTCTCTCTCTCTCTCTCTTATATATATATACACATTAGTGGTGCATGTGTCTTGCTTCACATGATTAGGTGTACCCATGATAAAAGAAGGAAAAAAAATGAATTGCTAAATTGTCGTACATCAATTACTTGTTAATTGTGTGGATATTATGGGTTTATGTAAGAATACAGTAAGACACCAACGTGGGAATTAGGATCCTCTCCTTGCTCTCTCTCCTTATCTCCCTACTTGCAACGGTGGAGATGCACTCTAAAATGATCCAACGGTTTAGATCTGACTTGTTTAATATCTTTATTTTTTAAAATAGTTAGATCTGGACTGTTGAATTATCTTAAAATGCATCTCCACCATTGTAAGTATAGAGATAAGGACAGAGAGTAAGGAGAGGATCTGGGCTCCCAGTGAAGGGCATGATAGTGGCACAACTACGGAATCATGGGAGATCCAAAGAACGTCGTGGATGATAAAATAGCATATATCACTATAAATAAATAAATAAATAAAAACTTCTAAAACTGCAATGCACACATTAAAGAAAGCATTACAATGCTTGCTAAGATACATGCTCAAAAGATGAACGAAGAATCTTAGATGAAAGTATTCTAGATGCAGAAACCATATTAGCCCTTTTAAGTCCTCCAACTCCAAGCCACAAAGACATGCCATTCTACACAGATATTCTGGGTGATTCCATACTAGCAGAAGGATTTGATAATACTGTACAAGAATCAACACCATTAGTACGAATAGGGATGGTTGCCATCCTCCGAGAACTACTATTCCATATCTGTTAGCGTCGTCTATGGTAATGCAAAACCGTTCCATTATAGCCAAAAGCACGCCAATTACTATCCCTACGGAGATCCCAATGATTAGCCGAGACGATTCTCCTTTCATCTTCTTGTTTATGCTTCACTGTGTGCTGTTCAAGCATCAAGTCCATCTACAAACATGAAAATGATTAAAATCTTTAATCAAAACTGAACAAATAGTGTGGGAGCCTGAAATGGGTTTGTTCCACATCAGTCTGAGAGACATTCACAACCCACTTAATAAGTTGACTAACTCTTCCTAACTAGCATAAGGCCTTTTCTAAAGAAGAACAAAACCGTGAGGCTTCGGCCAAAGCAAACAATATTGTGCTAGTGGGGTTGGCTTAATAGCTTCGTTTGGCGTTGTTTGTAAGAACTCCCTCCGATGTGAGTCCCTTGGCATTCAGAGCCAGTGAGAGCCAGTCTGATGTGAGTCCCTTCACTGTGTGATATTCAATAGTCTAATTGAATGACAACTGAAATGGTTTTGTTTGGTTTGTCTAGTTTTTAATTTTTTGGAATGCCTTTCTGAAAAGAAAAAAAAAATGTGCTAGGAGAAACCTACACAATGATAAAGAAGAGTGATAAGGGGTAAAATTGGCATTGTAAATAATTTAATTGTTGACCTAGGCAAAATCTGTCAAGTTGTTTAACGGTTGACTAGGGGAATGAGTAATTTGTAATGCAAATACAAACTTCAGGGGAGGAAGTGTAATTTCTAAAATTTCAAGGAATAATTTGTATTAAATATAAATATCAAGGGGTGTGAGTGTAATTTATCCTAAAAAATAGTGTAGTGTACATTACATCGATAGTGAAGACAAATTCCCCAGGAGAGTTGCTTGAAAACTGAGAGCAACCACACCCAATCATGATGTTCCTGGTCCCATCTTATTGAATAATCCCAATAAAAAAAAATTAAGGTAAATTATCAATAGGTCTTACTTTTGAAATTTGTTGTTTGGGATGCTCTAAATAAATGTACTTTTTGATTTTTTATAAAATATGGGTTGGGTTTGAAGTGATGTGGTAGAGAGGTGATATGACTTAAATAGGATAGTGACTTTTTGATTTTTTTTGAAGATGCTAAACTTAGCCTTATTACCCCATTAAGTCTTATTAATAAATTTATCAATCTCTTATTTTTATAGTGATAAATTAATTAATTATAACCTGTAAGTAAACAAGTCTAATTAGTAAGACTGGTCGGTAGGTGTCCTAAAAACTACAATCTAGAAGTCGGTAAGATGGCCATTGTGCAAGACAAAAACAAGACGAAGTGTAGCAAAGTAACATTCAACAAAAACAGAGTGCCAGCATGAACTCAAACAAATGAAAAACAGAACCCCATAAGAGGCAAAATCTATTGCACCTTCAATTAGTGTAAACAAAGGAAAAACAACCGTCAATCAGTCTCGAGCTGCAGAGTGGAACACCACAAATTTCTCCCTCCCTCGGGATGATATCCCCAAATTCGACCTCACAAAATTAACCAAACACAAGACTTTTAGGCTATGTTTGATTCACAAGACTAATAGTGATGTATTAATAATCCTATTAAATTAGTGTGGTATTCACTATCCAATTGGATTAATAGGATAAATTATCCATTGGATTAATAATCCCACCTTTACCACATTACTAATAATCCTACAAATTTGTTGGATTAATTATCTATTAGATTAATAATCTTAAACCAAAATGTTAAAACAAACATAGGATAATTGGACCCACGGATTAATAATCCAATCTCATATTCTAATCCATTCAATCAAATACGCCCTTAATATGCTCCTCAAGACAGTCTTACATAGGTCTTCATCACTGCTTTCGGTTTATAGATTTTTTGTAATGAATTTCAAGCACACAACAATTTTATTTTTTTATTTTCTATAGAAGTACCTTGATATTACTTATGTTCTAACACAAAGCAAACTACAGTGCATACGGTTAGACACATATGCTAATTAATCATGCTTCACACATCAGTTTCAAGATTGACAAATCAAAGCAGAAGAAACAACATACTAGACAATTTGGCGAGACGATCCTGGATAATAAGTGAAGGAAACAGCAAATTAAGTCAAAAGAAGAAGGAAAACCAGAAGCCAAACTCATAAAAGTGAACTATTGAGAAAAAAACCAAACAAACCTCAAAGACCAATGTTGTCGGTCTAGTGAAGGAACTGCCCTGAGAATGAACAATTGCCATTGAGCCTAGTTGGATTTGATCTTTAGATCATGCTTCATTGTATCGTGGAGGCAAATTTGCTGTAACCCTCTGCACACCTTTTGGTGTGTGCAAATATTGTCTTTAGGAAAGCGACTAAGTAACGCGACTTGAAGTGCTAAATTTATGTTCTACGTAGATAAGATCATCGCCAAGTTTTGAAGATCCGAAGACCACCAACTGAAGAATTCAAGACGAATTATTCCAACAAATAACACCTTACCACCCATACATATGTAATAAAAAATACCTAACCAAATTATTGTACTAGAAACTGAATAACTATACTTAGGGCCAGTTTGGTAAGGTAGCGTTGGTAATGTTTATGTTTTTTATTTATGTTTACAAAAATTTTATAAACTGGTTTTTGTTTATTTTTAGAAAAACATAAACTATAATTGCGTTTGGTTTGAACAAAATGTTTAATTTTTTTTTTAAAAATATAAACTAAAGAATATGTTTGTTCAGGCCTAAAATATTTATATTTATTTTTTTATTATTTTATGACAATGGGATCATGCACATTATAATTGAAAAAAAAATTAATTAAAAAATTAATTGGAAAAAAAACTAATTGAAAAAAAATTTATTTGAAAAAAAACATTTGAAAACAAAAATTTGTTAGTCAAATTTTTAAATTTCTGTTTAAAAACCTACGTAAACTCATTTTTTGAGTTTACGTTTTTCCTCAAATTTATAAACTGAGACAACCATTTATAAACAAAAAAAATTATCAAATAAGTTTTTATGATAATTTTTAAAATTTTTGTAGATATAAACTGAAAACTGAAAACGGCATAGTTACCAAACAGGGCCTAAGCAATTTCAAATTTCAACTTCCTGGGACAATTGCTCCATGGATTATATAGAACTTTCTAAGGAAACTATAACAACAATAAACAAGACAATAAATAAATAAGGTATAGAATAGAGAAGCATTAACTACTTCAATATCTGATTCTCTCGAATTAAAGCATGGAGTTACAAAGAATCACATAAAAAATAAATAATAAAATGTTGTAGAACATGCAAAATCCTAAAAATGCAAAACAAAATAGTGATCTAAGCCAAGAATTGGCGAGTTAAAGCGAAAATACCTCAATTGAGATGGCTTGATAACTCCTACTACTACATATGCAAATCTGATGATCAAGTAGTCATAGACTATTGAATATCTTAGAGAACCCATCTTCGGTCGAGATCGTGAACTCATTGTGATCCACATCTTGGAGATCTTCCACGGAGACTGAACCACAAAGAGTGTAAAATGATGGAGACTTGCTCTTTCTCCTTGAAACAAAGGGAGTGACCATGTGAAAATGAGAGCATCCGGCCTTCACATGGCAATTTGACACAAAGAGTTGGGCCATCAAATTATAAAATAGTTCAAACATATAGTAAAGTAGTCTAAACAAAATATGAGAGCAAAACATGAGAACAAAATATGAGTTCAAACATATTGTTGTAGCAATAAGACTCTCTCTTATATTATAGCAGTATAGATATTGTTAGATTTTTATAATTGACAATTCTGTTAGATAAAATTTTATTCAGTTGTATTTTTATTTACTCTATTGTATCTGTGAGTTATGAGAACTTAGATGCGAATTCAACCCGAGTTATGTTGGAGTAGAGGAGTTTGTGCTGACATTCCATATCTTTTTGAGCTCTCTTGGTTTGTCACTTCGCTTACTAAGTACGAGGATCCCCAAAACTAAAGCCAAGAAAGAAGTCAAAGTTGATTAACCGCTCGAATGGTCTTTTGTGCACTTGAACAGTGAAATGGTTCATCCAGTATCTCTGTCTGCATTTTGAACTTCAGGGAGACATGTTTTACCGCTCGAGCAGTAGATGTTGCACTCGAGCGGTTGACTTATATGTGAGTTCTGCCTTTTCTCACACCGCTCGAGTGGTAAAGTGAGCGCTCGAGTGGTCTTTGTAGCTTTGTTTTGTATAAAGTGCGCTGTTTTTTTTTTTAAGGTTCAACCCATCCAGATTTTCAGAGAGGAGTAAAATACAGAGTGTTCTATATTAGAGGGTGTTTATATATGAGTTTCCTTGATGTACAGAAAGTGATCGATTGATCAATGAACTAAATATTGACAAACATCAAGGGTTAGTTTTGTTCTTTCATTCACAAAAAGATAGAGGTGTTTATTGGTGGATTCTAGGGAACTTGGACTTGTAGCTTTGGTAGATTCCGAAGTGGTTCATCGTTGTGGATTCGACATTAGTGTTGTAGATTCAATGTTGGGCAAAGCAATTCCGTAGTGAAGGTAGTGGTAGAAGAGACATATCGGGTTCGGTTCAATTCGGACATGGATTCATTAGGTAATTGAGAGTTCTCGTGTGTAATTCATTTTTGTCTTCTTAGTGGATTGTTTTGTGGTTTTGGCCCGTGATTTTTTATCACAATTGGAGGTATACCAATTGTGATTTTTTTCATGTTAAATCATTGTGTCGATTTGTTATTGATTGTTTGATTGTACTTACTATTTATTGTTTAAAAATGAATCATAATTACAAATCAATATCTCGAGAGCTTTAATTTTTTTTTTCAAGATATAAATATATGCATGTAGTATATGTAGTTACCAATTTTATTGTTTTCTTGTCAACATTAATTACAACTAATTCTGTCTATGACAAATGCTTTACAAAAGTCTGAGGTTTATAGACTGAATTTGTAATGCTATTGGAGATGAAGAAAGCTGTCAACCCTCTCACATGAGGTGGGTCTCACTAGTATAAAAAATTGAGATTTTAGACACCAAAATTTAGGAATAAAATTATTTTTTAGGAACCAAATATTTTTGTTGCGAAAAGTGTTATTATTATATTTTTAGCAACAAAAATTGGACATTAGTGATGAATTATTATCCTTTTAGGACCAAATTTTTTGTTTCAAAAAATAAGTCATTTTGAGACCAAATTATTTTGTCTTATTAGTAACATTTTCAAACTTTTGTCGCTAAAATCCTTGTTTTGACTTTTTGGGACGATTTTTTAGCGAATATCCTCATAACGATAGAAATTGATTCTTAAATGTCCTTTGCAACAAATTTTCATTTTTAGAGACCAAAAAAATTTGGTTTCTAAACCTCTTATATGTTGTAGTGCACCCTATGTATCCAATTTGGTGATTAGATTATGAACATGCACTGCTGGAAAAATGACTTTTAGCGGCGTTTTTAAAACGCCGCTATATGTATGAAAAACGCCGCTAATTCCTTTAGTGACGCTTATCACCAAACGTCGAGGACGCGGCCGTCGCTATAAGTTTATGACGCTTTAAAAACGTCGTAAAATTAGTATAGGCGGCGTTTTTAAAAACGCCGCTAAATGCGATAAATAATGATAAAATGACGTCATCCAATATTTAGCGACGTTTTTAAAACGCCGTGATAGATTTTTTTATTTTAAAAAAATGTCCGTTGGCACTGTAGTGGCGTTTTGAAAAAACGCCGTTATAGCTCTTTTTTTTAAAAAAAAATTATTCTGAATCTGTTATATTTAACTAAAAAACATACCTGTAATAAAGCTGAAAAATAACAAAAACATATTCTGTGTTCCACATATTATAGTGGTTGAATTAAGCAAAAATTTAATTTATATTTTTTCATATTCTTTTTTGCTTTTATATTTTTAAAGTCATAAGCAGTGATCATTGATTCAATGATAAAATCTTAGTCTAATAATCTTTGAGATTATGAGTTTAAGTCTCGGAACAATCATTTTGTATACTATGCACAGGGTATTTCTGTCAAAAGAAATAATAGTTCTTTGGAAAGATAAAAATCAGCTTTGATTTCTTTTCCCAATTATCATTTTAAATGTATAAAAACTGTCAACAAGCATATGGAGAAATTGAGAACATCAATAATTTTAGAATACACTATTCATCTGATAAGTATAATCAATTTGAATGTTGTAAACACCACAAGTTTTACGACATGCTGGTATAAACTTCTAGATAGCATCTTTTCATTTTTCTCAACGGCCCCATTTGGTGCTTCGAAATGTAGGGGGAAGGGAAAAGGAAAAATTTGATATTAGTGATGTTGTTTATACAACACTTCAACAAACACAATCTCATTAGTGTTTTCATCCATCTTAACTTCCTTAAGTATTTAAAAGTAATAACTATAGACCCATTAGTCAATAATTTCCACACACAGTATTCATATTTACTGTGGCATGCTTTATCAATGATTATTAATACTGTCAACATGTTTTGGTGTGCTCATTTACTTCGGCTCCGGTACTAGTAAAGGGCCTAATTTGTGGAATTTAATTCAAAACTTTAACAATGGTCCAGGTCAAATTATGACACAAAACCATATCACTTCTGCCTATAAAGGGATCACAATCTCACCATTTTCATTTAGCTTCAGCAGCAGTTGTTCCCACGTTGGGAGAGCACACATTCCAGCATAAACTGCTGTCCTGACTGCCCATGTATGGTATGGTGCACAAACTTGTGCATAAGCTGCTGAGGCTGCTTCTTTTAAAGAGCAATACCTAACAGAAACACAAAAAATAAATCAAATAAATGAGATTTTGTTGCCAAGGAGAAACAAAAGCAAAGATTGCAATAAATCAGATAAATGATGACAGAGTCGGAAACCATCAACAAAATAATTCAAGAACTAGAGTTGATCTTTGAGTCTAGTAAGACCAAATGCTTCTTGAATATGAAGTTTCTTGGCATGCTTTGCATGTGTGTTTTTGTTCATTAATATGTTGTCTGTGTCCTTGCCTTTAGCTTGAGATGGGAATAGCAGGCAGATGCAAAACAGGAATAGAGCACTGAAATATTTAAACTCATTGAATTAATTAGATTGTACAACTTGTTTCAGAAAATATCTTTATGGATTTATGATTCATCTAAAGCAGACTAAACATAAAGTGACAAAACACAAAGAAAGAAAAGAATGACAGCAAGAGAGTAGATAATCTGGTAACACACTACTCAATGTCCAAAACCAAAGATTCTTTATTACATCTAGTGGAGCAATAATATGCATCATCAAAGCACATATTATATCAACGAGCCTGAATAGGAGGACATAAATTTTTCCAAATAACAAGTGCCAGGAAACATTTTAGTAGATGTGAGAGAAGGAAGATACTATAAAAGAGAGGAACATACTCTGAAGACAAAAAATTTTCGAATATAGCTCTGATGAGGTCGAGACCCTGCCTAACTCTGCGTAGATTACATGAAAGGCTTCCTTGTGTTCTCACTGTGTCATTTTTGACATCAACGTCAAGTACGTTATTTAAAGTGCCATACATATTTGACGCTTCCACAAGATCACGCACCTGGAAGTGTCAATCAAAGCATTAGATCCAACGAGCATTTTTAGATTGGAAATTAACAGGGAGAAGTAACAAACTTTGGATTGAAATACACAAGGAATCCATCTTTGCATTATATTTATGTAAATATGGCATTTCACCTTTAGAAGGCAAGATTTTATCATTGAATCAATGATCACTGCTTATGACTTTAAAAATATAAAAGCAAAAAAGAATATGAAAAAATATAAAATAAATTTTTGCTTAATTCAACCACTATAATATGTGGAACACAGAATATGTTTTTGTTATTTTTCAGCTTTATTACAGGTATGTTTTTTAGTTAAATATAACAGATTCAGAATAATTTTTTTTTAAAACAAAGAGCTATAACGGCGTTTTTTCAAAACGCCACTACAGTGCCAACGGACATTTTTTTTAAAATAAAAAAATCTATCACGGCGTTTTAAAAACGTCGCTAAATATAGGATGACGTCATTTTATCATTATTTATCGCATTTAGCGGCGTTTTTAAAAACGCCGCCTATACTAATTTTACGACGTTTTTAAAGCGTCATAAACTTATAGCGACGGCCGCGTCCTCGACGTTTGGTGATAAGCGTCACTAAAGGAATTAGCGGCGTTTTTCATACATATAGCGGCGTTTTAAAAACGCCGCCA